TCTGCTGAGCGGCTCTGTATTGATGTCGGGATGCCAAGACATTCGGCTGTTTTTGGCCATCATTTTGGTTAGCTCCATCCTTCATTATCCCTGCAGAGCACTCAAAGGCAAACCAGGTTCAGCCTGACTTCTCCAAGGTCACTGCCTGAATCGTTGGTCATGGCTGGAAGAGAGTCTGAGAGTCCTCCTACATTGCCAAGGATGCTTCTCACAAGGACAACAGACTTAAGAGAGTTATAGACAGGGCTTGGGAGGGGGGAAAAGGTATCTAAAATATTAGATGATAGTGGCGACCAATTTTGTCTGCTACGATGATAAAATCCTGAAGAGTTGAGTGTGTTTTCTTGGATAACTCCCAAATTCCTATCCTGCCCTTCTTTTATTTTTCCTCTCATTCCTGATATGACCTTAGTCAATTCTTTTATTTCATTGTCTAGACTATTTTAATGGCTTAGACAGTCTCCCTTGCTTTATTCAAAAGCAGTTATTTTTTTAAAATGCTATTCGACATTAGTGCTATATTCTGCATTAGTGCTATATTTCTAAATCTTTACACGTTGGCCTTTTAAACCTTTTCCTCTTGAAGAAAGTTTCTTTTGAAAGAAAGCAAGTCCTAGGCGCTATGTAATCTGATGTCAACCTAAATATAAAATGATTTTTCCCCCACATTGGTCAAATAAATTGTTGGTTTATCCTCAAATCTGTCAGTTTCTTCTGATAGCTATCCAAATCTCATTTCTATTCATCAATAATTACTACTCATCAAAATCCTCCCTATCCTTGAAGATCCTCTAAATATAAAAACATGTTAGTTTAATTTTCTTCCTAATGTGCCTACTACTGTTTTTGGTGCCTTTGCATCACATAAATGCTTGACACAGGCCTGGAGAAATAGTACAGCAGGTAGGGCATTTGCCTTGCACATGGCTGACTTGGGTTCAATTCCCAGCATCCCATATGGTTCCCCGAGCACCGCCAGCAGTAACTCCTGAGTGCAAAACCAGGAGTAACCCCTGTGCATCACCGGGTGTGACCCAAAAAGAAAAAAAAATGCTTGACACTAATGTCAGAGCTTGTGTGATTACATTATTTCCATTTCTGTGTCAAATGTTTTCAGGGCAAGGCAATATGTTTTATTATTCTTATTATTATTATATTCTTTGTATTCATGTTATTCTTTTTCTTATTATTTTTCATAGTTCTTATGTGGTCCAACACCATGATATCCATATAGTAGACTCAATAAATATGCATTGGAGAATCCTGTCATCTTAAGCCATCTAGTTCTCAGAGTTGCAGGCCTGGGAGATAGGCAATGACTGACAAGCATGCTAGTCCATGCTTCCCTTTCAGAGTCAGTGCTTTGATTATAAAAGTCCTCCTCAGATGGCATCACTATAAAGAGTTTTTGTAAGGTTATTCTCCACAGAGTCAAACTTATCATTTGTACTCCTAAGTATCATTTATAAACCTCTCTAAATCTGTATTTAGATTGATTTATAGTTTACATACAAGTCTGCACAAGTATTCATACACACACATGTACACACACACACACACACACACACACACACACACACACACACACCCCTATTCCTGACCCCTCTGTGATCCTTTATGTAACTAATAGATGGTTAAGCTAAACATTTTTCTCAAATATTTTATTTCTCTAGATCCATTCTTAAATGGCATTTATGTCTATGTTAACAAAGCATATACAATATGAAAAGGACAGTTTTACTTTCTATTCTTGTACTTAAAATAATCTGCAGTTTCAGAAAATAGAACATTCACTGGTGTATATTGAGAAGACAAGACTTTTTTTTTTAAACTTTAAGGGACACAGCTAACTTTTGAAGCATTTGCTAAATCCTGCTATCTACTGGACACTTGTGTTAGATGTGAGAGATCAAAAAACGATTTTAGGGCAGGCGCAATAGTACACTGCCTTCCATGCAGCCAACCAGGTTTAATCTCTGGGTCCCTTGAATCCAACAAGAGTGAGCCCTGAGCACAGAGCCAAGAGTAAGCCCTATATGGCCCAAAGGTGGGGGAAAAAAAACCTTTTAAATTATGGTCTCTGTTCCGAAGGAGTGTAGTAGATTTTTTTCTTTAACCATCTATCCATCTACATCAGAAGGTTAGAATACACCTTCTTCTTTCTTTTGGTTATGCCTTGTGTCTGTACATGCAACAAATCATTTTCCTCCATACCTGGTGTCAACTAACAATTTGCAAATCTCTTGACAGGATTTCTGTCTTGTTTTGTTTGTTTGTTTGTTTGTTTTGCTAAATATAAGTCTAGAACAGAATAGGTTTGGTGAATATTTATAAATATTTATGAAAGAATGGTTTTATAAACAAAAAGGTGAAGAAATATTTCCAGGTGAGCCTATAGTGTTAAGGAACAGACAGCAGGTCATGTAACTGAAATGCTTCGAGATGAAATTTGAAAAATGGGTCCAGATTTATATAAAACAAAGGCTCTTAACTTTAATGTTATTGGCATTTTAAACATTTCTTTACTAGTGACAGCTGACCCACATTACTGTAGGCTTTTTAACAGCTTCTCTGGCCTCTACCCTTTCTCACAGCTGAGATAACCAAAAGTATCTCCAAATACTGCCGAACAGTCCTTGGAGAGCAAATTAATTCTGGAAAGAATCAATAATGTAGAACTTTTGGTACAATTCTCACAGAAATGGGACACCACCAGAGCATTTTCAATAGAAATGTGTCATGTAAGGTTAGGTATTAACATGATTTCCCTATGAGGAATGTAGATGATCAGGAACAGGAGAGCTGGGAATTCAGTGCTGAAAGGAATCTGAGATGAGGGTTAGGCGGTGTGAAGGAGACAGAAGAATCTGAGAGAACAGATTTCACAAAATGGAGTACCAGTTTGAAGAATGGCATTAAAAAAAAGTTCGAAGTTCAAAGGGATCACTGAAGGGCCCAACCTAGTATTCAACCCAGGAACATCAGCATAGCAGGCTAACGTGCCCATTCTGTCCTGAGCAACCTGCTCACCTTCCATGGGCACCCCTGAGCCCTCAGCACTTGCCTTGATGCATCAGAAGTGAATTTTAAGCTTTCCCTCTGGCTCTAATAAGAATACGTGGGAGAGATGCAAGAGAAAAACTAGGGGAGGGAATAGCCAGAGGGCTGCTTTATAACTCAGGTAAGAGATGATCAGAATCTGAAAAAGGACGGTGGCAATAGGAATAAGAAAGGAAAAAATTTAAGAGTCCCATGTAGTTTTAATAAGGTACCATTTTCTATATTTCTTATAGTATCATATGAAAAACGTGTCAATTTTTTGGGGGGGAGGGTAGGCACATCTGGTGATGCTTCCTTTTTTGCAAACAGAAAGTGCTCAGGGACCACACAGAGTTCTGGGAATAGAACCCAAGTCAGTTGCATCCAAGGCAAGCACCCTACCCATTGTACTATCTCTCTGGTCCCACTATTTCTTTTTCATAGTTTATTGTCATAGTTTTCTTTCTCTCTTTTCTTTAAAAAAATTGAAGCGACATAATTTACAAAACTGTGATTATAGGGCTTCACACATACAATGCTCCTACACCAGACCCTCCATTAGAATGCCTGCTTCCCTCCACTCTCTCTCCACCTGTCTCTCCCAAGTCCTCCTCCACTACCCTTGGTAAGCCTGAATTCTGTAAACTCTTTCTCATGATCTGTCTTTGACCATTTGTTATTCCTTGGCTATGTTTCTTCATCTCCCACATGTGAAAGAGATAGTTCTGTATCTGTCCTTCTTTATTTGACTCACTCACCATGTGACCCTCCAGGTCCACTCGGTCCACTCACCAAGTGGCAAATTGCATGATTTGGCTTTCTTCTAGCTGAGTGGCATTCCAGTGTGTATATATCCACAGTTCCTTTTCTATAGTAGACCAATTCCTTATATTTCTTGCATTTTTTTCTTTCTGGTAGTTCTACTCTATTGTATATTACCCTAAGTAATTTCTTCTCAAGTTAAACTAAATTATAATACCTATTATTGTAAAATGCATGGTAGAGCCTGGCAAGCTACCTGTGGTATATTTGATATGCCAAAAACAGTAACAACAATGGGTCTCATTCCCCTGACCCTGAAAGAGCCTCTGGCATGGCAGAGTTGGGAAGGACGAGAGGAGAGGCTGTTAAAATCTCAGGAATGGGACGAATAGAGACGTTACTGGTGCACACTTGACCAAATTGTTGAACAATGGGATGACAGTGCTAATTATTGTAATTGTTCACAAGCTTCTTCTCCAAATGGTAGTTATCAAATAAAAACAAAATGACCAAAAAATAGCTAAAAACACTCTAAAGTAAGGACATTTTAAGCATTTCTCAAGACAGGTACCTCAGATTTAGTTATGTTCTTTAGGCTTATACATATCAAATCACAAAAAACTCTATGGTCAATAAAATACTGAGACAAACACCTAAGACAAAAATGGAAATACCATCTGCTTAAGTCCATAAACCATATGCTACCTGAATAATCTTTATGGTCAAATGAGTCACCTTAACAGTTATAGATATACATACTTGGTCAATACTAACCAAATTCTTGATATTTGTCTTCATTAAGAAAAATTATCATATTTAAATAAGATACAGAATGTTAATATATAAGTTGTAAACGGTTTCCAATGAGCTCTTTCATGGAAAAAAATTATTGAAAACAACTTCAGATTCTTTCTTTGTGTTTTTGAACTACTCCTAGCTCAGTGCTTGTTCCAGTGATACTTGAAGGACCATGAGATACCAGGGATCAAACCAGGTCTTCTGCATGCAAAGCATGCACTCAGCCTATTGTGCTGTCTCTCCAGCTCACAATTTCATCAGATTTAAATGCATGCTAATACAGGGTGATCTGACGGTGAATTCCTAAAGGAAATCAGCTAAAATTCTCTCAAACTTGAATGGGCATTTCCAGGTGTTCAAAGGAAGTAACGGCAATGGCACTCACTATGATGAATGCTTACCTTGAGTTTATGTTCTTTCCTGTTTACAATCACAGCTGTGATCTGCTGGTCCATAAAAATCAGAATGGTGACCAACAAAGCAGGGATAGCAGCTGCAAGGTAGACCCACCAGGGGTTTCCTCCAAATGGTGGAACAAACCAACCTCTGTTTGGACTTGTTGGCTTGAAGAAGAGAGAAAGAGCTTTTCAGAACAGTATTCAAACATAAAGCCAACATTCACTTTTGGAGAGCCAATCTATTGAAAAACAAACAGTTTTAACTGATAAATTGGACCAATATGATTATTTACCACAAGCTTTCTAAAAGGAACTACATGACTGTCACTATTTTAAACAGGGACTAAAACTATAGATTGATGGAAAAGAAATAAATGCTGCTTCGTGCATTTAAAATGATCTATGGTATGGGCTGGAGAAGAAAGAAAATAAGTAAGTTTTACGAAGCAGCCATAAGATAAGCTCAAAGATGATATTTACTAAATTGGCAGGCAAGAGGACAGGACAATGTGTAGGTCCCTAGCCTTGCATGACTCTGTCCTAGATTTGACTCCCAACAGCACTTACAGCACCCTGACCTCTGCCAATAGTGATCCCTGAATGCTGAGCCAGGAGCAAGCCAGGAGGTTAGCTGGGTATGGCCCAAAAAGGGAACAAAAAAGATGCAGGCAAAGAACTACAAAACAAACACAAACTTTGTTCATGGATTTTCGCAATGATGCTCAAATTGTTTCTACTATTGCTGGACTGAAATAATTTTATAACATATATGCATACATACATATATACAACAACAAAGTTAGATATGTTGTATTTGAAATAATTTAACACATCTTGGTGGTCATTGCTGTTTGGGGCTGGGGGTGCTCTAGCAATGACTGGCCATTTGTGCAGGTCTCATGGTTTATTCCTTGTGCCCAGTAATGCGTTGTTGCCCGGGGGGTCGGCAGTGTTGGCGGCCCCCACAGCGACACCTGGGCCACAAGGGCTGGTGGTGCTCTGAGGCAGGATCCATAAAGTGCCAGGAATTGAACCCAGGGCCTAGCACACAAAAGGCAAGTGCTTAGTTCCAGTCCTTCAAGCTCTCTCCCCAACTCCTGTTTTGTCATTCACACATGAAAGAGGACTGAAAATTACTTGTTAAATCCTCCTTTAATTATCATGGAAGATTGGAATATATGACTGTTTTCCCAGTTTTTCATCTATCGTCTGTTAGCACATCACTCATTTTTACTACAGAGGAAAAAAAATTTCCTACCCCTTTTCAAACAAGGCAAATTAGCTAAAATAAAATCCTATCAATGATATAAAGTAACAAAATATGAGATTAATACCCAAGAATAGCTGAGATCAGCACCAGGAGGATTACTCCATAGCTTAGAGGCCAGCTGGGCATTCTGGGGGAAGGGGCAGCTCAGATAGAGAACGGAGCACCAAATAAAGGGTGTTTGGAGGATCCTCCCAGGAGGGGAGATGCATGTCAAAAGTAGACTATGGACTGAACATGTTTGCCACTCAATGCCTCTTTTGCAGACCACAACACCCAAAAGGAGAGAGAGAACAAAAGGGAATGCCCTGCCACAGAGGCAGGGTAGGATGGGGGGGGGGCGGGGGAGTGGAGGTGGGAGGGATATTATCCATGGTGGTGGAAAGTGGGCACTGATGGAGGGATGGGTATTTGATCATTGTATAATCGAAACCCAAGCACAAAAAATTGTAAATCTACAACTGTACTTCATGGTGTTTCACTCATAAAAAGAAAAAAAATCCTATCAATGAATTATTTTTCCATATTTACTATCAAGAATATCTCACTCCTCTTTTTTGTCATCTGTGTCACTTTGTTTACAACTCCATCCTTAATCTAGTTTAATTTTACTCCCTTAGCAAGACTATGAACTTGTAAAGAGAGAAACTTGGTTTTGCTCTGCAACACCTGAGCAAATCAAGCATTAAATAAATATTTCAGTTAATAATCAAAAGAAATAATGCATAGAATAAAATAATAAAAATTAATCATTGAATGAATAAGAAAGTACCTCTGCTAAAGAATATATGATAGCATAAATAATACAGAAAGTTTTCTATAATGTAGAAATCCCTTCTCTCATAAAATACTTATTAAATTAAAACAACATTTTATCAAAAACTTGCTATATTTCCTTAGCAAGTTTATTATTTCAGTAATGGGGAACTAGAAATGTGTCAGAAAATAGGTAAAAGACTTAGAATATAAAGAATATTAGAAAATTAGGTAGGAATATTTAAGAATGTTAAAAACATAAATTTTATATATTGGGCCTGTACATATCAACATATCAATAGGTTTATAAAACCTGTACCTTATTGATAATAAATAAAATTCAAATTATAGAGTAATGCCTATGGATACAGAACAATGCGGATGTGTGTATATATCTATATATCTACATATATATCTATATATATGTATATATGCACACATATGCGTGTGTTAAGTTGTTTGGTAGCAGGAAAAAAGTATTAAAATAAATATTTAATCTTTGCATCTTAATTTTTACTTATTAGTTTCAATCTCTACTTCATGATCAGGATCTAAAATAAAAACATAAAGGCAAATTTTCAGTATTGCGACATTTATAACTAAATGTGAATATAGTGTAAACCTTACACTTGGTCCTCCCCAGGGACTGTTTTTGAAATGAACAGTTTTATAAAATTAATTCAAAGATGGGATAAACTAGAATTGTGGGAACAAAGAAATTCATTAAGTTCCACAAATGACCAATATGTCACCTACCTTGAATTCGCTTGGCACAATTAGTTTTGGAGTATCCACACCTATCAGGGCATCTATTACACAAAAGAGGAGGATGGACAAGATAATGGCAAAGTCACTGATCAGTTTTCTTGCCTAGAAAGACAAAAAAACAAAAACAGAAATCAGGCAGCTCTGGATACATACATTTGCCTATGTTTCAACTAAATGCATCTACATTTGCTAACAGTTCACAGAAGGGCCTTCATCAACAGGTTGACAAAGATATCATGCTGTGAACAGATTATTTTACACCACTTTTTCACCAGGCCAGAAAAGTTATGTGTGTGTTGGAAGGAAGAGGCAGAGGAGAATCAAGGGAAGTCAAGAGAACATATCCCTGAAACGACCTGCAAATTTTCTTTCTGCATATGACACAAATGAGATGGGGGTAAGAGTAAAATCTAAATGTGTATCATGAAATTTTGCACTATGATGTAGAATTTTACTTACTATTCAGGAGACAGCAATGTGAGTATGGAGTAACAAATTCCATAAGGCAACCAGAAATCGCTGAGAATCTAGCAGAGATGGGGTTGTAAGTTCTAGTGCAACAAGTGAACTCAAAAGTCAGAGAAATGTCAAGTGATAAAAGATGGAAATATGATGCCTTCACTAACTTCTTCAAGGAAAATATTTTTCTCTCTAAGCTAGCTCTTAAAATGATCTGAGGACATCCTAGTGGAGCAGCTCTTCTTCAGCACTACTTAAGCGTAGTCACTAGTATTTGAGAATCTACAAGTATCCTCAGCACCAGCCTGTAGTCTGAGCAAAGGGAGGCTCTATGGGATGTAGTTGCAAAACCTAAAACTTTCCCATGAAGTGGATGAATAACAATCACTTCTGAATCAATAGGGAAACTTGGAACCATTTAGTGGCTTGTCAGTCCCCCCACACCCACCAAAGTGTTTAGGACACAATTACTAAGAGCACTGGAGAGATACCTGAGCTTTCCTGTAAGATGTGAGCGCATGCTTGTGCATAATTAGATATCAAACAAGAACTTAGTGGCTAAGACTTTTCTTGGTCTCACTGACACCACAGTGAACAAAACAGACACAATTTATGTCCTTCTGAAGCTTATAGTCAATTCATGGAATGCAAGTTACTAGGGCAAACGGTTAATTTTCCTATGCATGAATATAAAGGAAGATAAATCAATTATGAATTTAGTGAAAATATAGTTGAACCTAGCGCCAATAAGCTCATCAACTGGCTATGATCCAGAGACTCAGAAATAAATCTCAAAGGAGATCACAAGTTGAAGAGATGCTTTCAGATCCCATGTCAGGCTGCAACTGTCTGGGGCACCCACCCCAGAGGTGGAGTGGGTGAGCCTACCACCTACCCAAACAGAGCCCTGGCAGCCCAAAACCGTCATATTCCACAACCTCCACCATGCCCACAGCCCAACCCCACTGCTAAGGATGAGCCTCATCCAGAAATTGTTCTGTTGAAAAAATTCAGGTATGCAGATTTTGTGACTGAAATCTCCAGCTCTCACAGAGTCAGGGATGGGCTGCCTCCTCCCACCATCCTGTTCTGGAAGCCTGGCAGTCACACCCACGAACTGCCTCTGGTGTCAAATAAGCTCATTAATGGGCCATGATCCAGAGACTCACAAATAAATCTCAAAAGATCACAAAGTTGCAGAGATGCTTCCAGACCCTGCACCAAGACTGTCATCCAGTGCACTCAAAGTCATTATCCACTTAAAAATTTAATTCCAGCTGTATTACCCCATTAAAAAAATTTTAACTCCTGAAGGGTATGGCCTTGAATGTGGCCTCATGACATCTAAAACTCTTCACCACCGATGAATCAGAACTACATTGGATGGGATGTAAAGTAGAATGCAATTACGATTAAGAAAATATAAACATACAAGGCTTAACTGGTAACAACATGTTAGTAATCCCTTCTTCAAGGGCTTAAAGGCTTCATGGTGAGATAAAACAATATTCACACATCTTCTAAGGAAATACTTTTTGATCATTTTTAGAGATGATGTCAACAATATAAAATAAATTATTCTGGGCCTAGTATAGGGTGGTTGGGAAAATTGTACATAATGGTGGTGGGAATGTTCACTGATCGTGAGATTGGTGTTGGAATATTGAATGTAATAAATCATGAACAACTTTAAAAAAATAATAAAAATATTTTTTTTAAAAAAGAAAGGAAATAAAAAAATCTTTATACACACAAATAGTTGCAGGACAGGGTTATCTTGAAAGAGTACTTAGAACTTCCACTGTACTTAGAACTTTCACTGACATGTTCAATGAAAACTGAAGTAAAGAATGAAATTTATTTGACAATGCTAAATGTTATAGAAGTGTTCAACTCTTGACCATCACAAAGGATCACAAATCTTCATACCAAGTAGCAGCAAGATCAAAGCTCTTTTGAATAAGAGATATTTTTTTTACTGTCTTTGGAAAGTTAGGTTTAGCTTTCTTGAGAAGTATGCAGAAGAAAATAAAGCCAGTAATGGGATCTTTTAAGGGGCAAGTTAACACAGATGAATTATATTAATCCCATTCCAAATTGATGTCATGGATCATTATCAAGTAAAAATACAGTATATTGCTTAGAAGCAAAGTTTCCATACTCAGATGACCCCGGCGGGAACTCTAGTACTATTATTTCTTCATTCAAAATATTTTGTCTTCTGTAGTTTCAGTGAGTTCATCTAAAAACATAGAGCAAAATAATCCCTATATCTTTCATTTTTTTGTTTTAATAATTAAACAAAATAAACTATGTAAGTGCTGAACATAATTCCTAAAACACAAAATCTAGTATGTGTTAATTAGCTATTGTATTTCAAATTGGCTGCAGAAACCAATGAACCACTAAATAATAAATATATGGTCAGGAGGTCTTTGAAAGGAATCTTCAACTCCAAGAACTAAAAGCCCAGTAATAATACAGAACTGCCACTCGGAGCTAATTTTGTTTGGAAGAATCTGGATTCCCTGCAGGAAAAAAAGAGGATGCTTCCCAAGGGCCTCACTACTGCAGGAAACTTCCATTATTTAAGTTGTGTGCAAGTTATTGTTGACATACACAGTTCAGTGTAGTCTAGCAGAAGATGCTGATGTGAAACAGGGTTGGGACATAGAAAATGTTACAACTGGATCTCTGATCTAGTGAGTCATAAATTGCTGTAAGACTGAAGGTCACTGCAAAGGCAAAAAAAAAAAAACCCTCCATATTATCTTACTTATCAGAGTCCTAACCTTACTTAGCAAATCTAACCTGTTGACACCTTAGGTACACTAAAAGTTGTTCAAAGAGCAGAGGTACGGTTACAAAAATCACAGCTGACTTCCTTTTAACAAATTTCATAAAAATGAACACCGAAGATGGGAAATAAACCCAATCTAACATTCTTTGGTAGAAATATCCGTAGTACCTATACTTTTGACTCTGCTAGGGCAGAGCTCTGCTTGACTGGAATCTCTAAGACTGCTGCTTCTTTAGGTAGGAAAGAAGGAATCCCTGGTCATCTGTAAACCAAATACCCTGAAAAATCCACACAGCAGATGACATCACCAGAGAGGACCCACAAATGTTGCTCCTGAATTGGCCTCATACATTTCGCGAGGTAATGGGGTTAAGGCATAGAATCCTCAAAAAACAGCAGAGTACCCCAAAACTCTAAATTATTTAAGAAATTATTTGAAAAATATCTCAAAAATGATATTTTATATAAATATAAAATCTATGTTTTGATTTTGATATTTTGATTTAACTTTTATATGTTATGTAATGTTGAGTAATTTGCTAGATAAATTTATCTCAACTTAAAATATACATCTTCTTCACTCATGAAAATTTCCATAACTTTCAAATCCAAATCAGCATTGTTTTCAAAATTATTCTTGTTGAAGAGCTATTCACAGGGGCTGGAGCGATAGCACAGGGGTTAGGGCGTTTGCCTTGCATGCTGCCGATCTGGGTTCGATTCCCAGCATCCTGTATCATCCCCTAAGCACCGCCAGGAGTAATTCCTGAGTGCATGAGCCAGAGTGACCCCCCCAAAAATAAAGCTGAAGAGCTATTCACTTGTGTCAATGAGGTAACTATGCTTTCAAATAACTATTCAATTCCTTTGATAATTTATTGAGCAAAACCTTCCTGATTTTACCCTTTATTAACCACAAGACTAGAGGATACACAATTTTCTTATAACACAGTAACATCCAAGTCTCCAATGGAGACGTTACTGGGCCCGCTCGAGCAAATCGACGATCAACGGGAGGGCCTTTACCTTTACCTTTAATTAGCTTAATATGAATAAATATTTATTGTCGGGATGGAGCGATAGCACAGCAGGTAAGGCGTTTGCCTTGCAAGCGACCAATATGGACGACCCGAGTTCGATTCCTCCACCCCTCTCGGAGAGGGGCAAGCTACCGAGAGTATCTCGCCTGCACGGCAGAGCCTGGCAAGCTCCCTGTGACATATTCGATATGCCAAACACAGTAACAACAAGTCTCATGCTGGAGACGTTACTGGGCCCGCTTGAGCAAATCGATGAACAACGGGAGGATCATGATATATTTATTGTCAAACGTTTAGAAAATAAGAAGGAAAGAAAATCCCAATTCCACTGCTTAGGAATAGTTTTAATCTTTTCTTTATATATCCTTCTTGCTGAGTAATATACAGCTTTTCATATACTATGGAGGAGTTTACTTACCCCTGTACTTTATTTTTATTTTGTTGGATTTTACCTATCATAGTAAGCATTGACTATAGTAAATATGAGTTATTATTCCCAAATCTCCTACTCCACTGTTTATATTCCTTCTAACTTTTTACTATAATATCAAAAGAAATCTTTGTAGATAACTAAGGTTTGCTAAAATAAACTGTCAGTGAAATATGTCAATGTATGTATGAAAATATAAGGTTTTTAAAACATATTGGTCAAGTTTCCTTCAAAGATACTATGCTGATTACTATTTTTACTATTCCAAAAAAATTTATGAATGACTGTGGATATTTTAATAATTAAATCCTGAAACAAACAAAAATTAAGTTCAATCTCTAAACATTGACTGATACTATATGAGAAAGAGTCA